AAATTTCCCTCTGAGACTCCCCTTTGATTTTTGCATCGTTAAATAAGGTTCTGTAGGTTAATTGATGGTGACATGTCRAATCTCATTTTGCCTTGAAAATAGTTTATTGCTATATCAGATGGTTAGGAGCAGCCTTTGCCTTTGAAACATATCAATCAAGCACTCAAGACTCTCCACAAACACATTGGAATTTGTTAGATGCAGATTGAGTCTCCACATGTGTGTACTACAGTCTACCCCGTATTGTTTAGCTTTTGTTTCAATGTTTTGTGTTTTTGTCTCTATTTAGTGACATAATCTAAGCTGTGGTATTCCTTTTGGTACGCATAGTGCTTTGGGCTGGTTCACATGGCAGAAAGCTCTAAACAGATACTGGCAAACACTTGACATAAGCATGACTTTATACTTCAGTATTGCTACGTAGTTCACACTTTGATTAATTTCTTAAGATAATCAGAAGCACAAGCACAAGCTTCTGCTTTTGTTTTCCCTGTTTCACTCTTAAAATTAAGTGTCACTTCTTGTGCCTCTGCTGTAGTGTGAATTGGTCCTTAATTGATCTAACAATCATTCCATTTTACCATTGTTAGCAACATTTACCTTAATACCATGTATCAGTCCATTCATTAAAAACGTATGCTCTGGAAAAGTGTCATTTAAAACCTACAGATGAAAAATAATAATTGAACGTCTTGTAAACAATAGACCTCTGNTAAAGCGTTTTGTTTTTCAGCAAAGGTTTTTACAATTCCAATTTTTTTCACAAAAGAATATGAACTAAACTTTAATTATTATAACTTGAGACAATGTATTACAATAGTATGGTTTGGGAATAATAACAAATACTGCATGATAAACTTGTACAGCTTGTATTTTTCTATTTTTAAAACTTAGTTTTGAAGTATCGCATCACAAGTACTTTTCTAGTAGATTCTATAGTCTACTCCAAACAGATGACAAAATGTCTCAATTCTCTCACGATTTCATTATTTGCACAGTGATAACTTGTAGCTTTAGCGTTATTTACTAATATGATACACAGAATATCATCTTACAATTACAATTACAAGCTAAGCTAATTTTCYGTAGGCACAAATTTCGTAAATTTTAATGGCTTCGTAAAGCTTATTTCCTGTAATTGAATCAATAGTACACAATAGACAGTCATAGAAATCCTATATCGGCTCAATCAGTCAAATAATGTTGACACATATAAATGTATGTAGCTGTTATACTGTTGCTTTTGATTTGATACAAAGCGATAYTTTATAACCAAAGATAACAGAGATATCTTACCGATTTCCCTTCGCGATTTTGAGTCCGCCATTTTCTCGCACTCGAAGCAGGAAAAGTGACTAATTTCTTTAGCCGTTTTTTCCCTATCATGACCTGATGAAAAGCATTAGGATTATTAGGAATTTTCCAGGTAGGAGCCCGCTTTGGGACGATTATTTTGATTCTTTTTGACAACGATGCTCATTTTCCCAAGTCATTTTGCCATCAAAATAATCAGGTTATTCAAGCTACGTATCTACGCATGACTAAAATGTCTCCTGCCACTGACCGCGAAACACCTTGACACACCGATTATTATTAGAATTGATTTTCACTCATTATTCTTAAAAACTGTGACAAAATACCCTTTTTCAAATAYATCTGCAAAGTAATTTTGTCAATGTTTTGACAACTTCAGGAGCTTTTAACACCCTTTTGCTTTCCGAGCATTCCCCGAGTATTTCCCCTATGATCGCAACGTCTTCGTAAAGTGATCGATAAACTTCGAGAAAGCTTCGTAATAGTTCGAGTTGTCGTCCAATTTGCCTTGGATACACGGTAGACAAAACATCCGATAAAAGTTCGAAGAACAATATCATAGTTTAAAATGTAGCTTTCAAAATACTGTCTTAAATTATGTCTTGTACTTGGGTTGAAAGAGAAAGCTATGGTCCTGTTCCCGCTCCTCGGTAAGCAATTTCGCGTTCGCACAGCCTTATCGAAAATTCTTTCTTTCTGATTTAAGCTGAGCGCATGTACGCCGTGATCGTACATTTTTTATAATGTTTAAATAGCTCATTCACATTAATATTTTTTGTCTTTTATAACATGTGTAAACAGCTGCAAGTTCCAATCGACATTCTAACGGATATTTAATCAGTTCAAGTAGCAGACATAAKCTCATGMAAACTCAAAAAGAATGGGGATTTCCTTTAACACTTTTTTGAGCTCTAATGATAAGACCTTAAACCCATGTCCTTAAGACTGGCTCACATGAGCAATGCAAGAAGCACATTGCAATCACAAATGCAAATAAGTGTAAAACAAGAAAATACGAAACTTTTTTTCATTTTTTTGCACTTGTGTTTTGCATTTTCAGTTCTGTGAACTGCAGGTAAATTGGCGCTGCTCATGTTACCATCTACAACCCCGGTATTCTGTGCTTTGTTAAAATGTTTTATTTGTGTCTGTCATAGACAAGGTCATGCTATAACGCTGGTAGGCAAAAGTGCATACATCTTTGGTGGAAGTAGCGGCAGTGGTTATGGAGAACATGAAGTATCAAGTGCTGATCCAGTTTACTTAAATGATCTTTTCCATCTTAAAGGTTATTATAATGTTAATCCATCTTAAAGGTTATTATAATGTTAATCATGACATTTTGATTGGTATCATAAACAAATCATTCTATATTCTGGTCTAATACAAAGGATGTTGTCAACTTGAGACAGTTTCAAAGAAGTGATTAGTTTTATGATGGTATCCCTCTTTACTAAGACCTATTGCAGTGTTTGGGCTATATGTTGTTACGTTCACACTCTAGTGTTGAATCTTATAAAACACTGATGAATAAAACATCAGTGTTGTGTGTGGGTGTACAAGGTTAAATAATCCAACTTTTAAGCAACTCCTGTCTTTTAAGTCCATTAGCCCATGGATTATTAATAAGGTTTCTGAAATTGATTATTTAGACTTCTTATTAACTTACTTATAGTTAGTCTTCAGGTCACATGGGAAAGAATGAGACAGTTGGGTGATATCCCATGTGGAAGAGATGGACACACACTAAGGTACTAACATTGTCGAGCTGCAAAGGGATACTGTAAAATTGATGGGACATATGTTAGTAATATTGGCAACATACTGTACAGTGGTTGACAGGGCACATCAATTCACAACCTTCAAAAATGGTGCGATATGTCACGGTCGCTGACCAGGTCACTTCTGRGAACGAAGCAATAAAACAAGGTCTCAAAGGCCAGACACAGTATAGTAAACTTCAAGAGTGTCTTTCAAGAGTGTTTTTTGCTATAAATAACATACCAACATGTGATCTTTGTAGTGATTTTTAGATGAAAGGCATTTTAGGTCTCGTTTCAATGATTCGTCACTAGTCCTCTGATATTGGCGGTTGTGAACACCATGTTTTTTGAAGTCGTGTATAAAATGACTTGTTTGCCTCACTTTGATTCAGATTCAAATTATGTTGAGGAATTGTGTTCAGTTTATAAATCCATAGTTCATGTGATACGTGACATCATGAGGCTTCAAACTGAACCACTGTACAACAACAGTAATGACTTAATAGTAATTGATAAACAATGTCAGGCATTTTAGCCAGCCCTGTACCTGTGGAAGGCATATCATTAGGATTTTGGGGTTACCTGTGCTTTCCAATAGTCTTGCTAGACATGCTGACCAATTAGTAATAAATAAAATTRAAAATATAAACTGAAAGTGTTTTTTTCCCTATCTAAGCTCTGTTGGTTCTGTCTTGTATCTTCTTGGAGGATCGAATTACCCAGAAGCCCAGGAGTGTCTTGAAGGGCTGTATGCATATGATATTGGTAGGTAGACCATGTTCACAGTATACTGAGTGGCAGCTGTCAATCCCACCTTATGATGGATGTTTAAAAATTTAACTAGTTAAAATTTCAGTTTGAGCAGTCAAATCCTTTTGTGAATAGACAAGGTTTAAGATGTTTTGATCAGTCAAATTTGAGTTTACTGTTTTTTCTTGTCTGTTTCTGCCATTATTTTTTGGCAAAATGTATCATATTATGCACATTCAGAGAGAGGTGGGAATTGGTAGCAATTAGTAAGGACAGTGCCTGTGGTGCTACCATCCAAGCTTGGGCAAGGCTGTGCTGCCAGGTCCTCAAATTCTAGCCCTATCCCAGATCTAAAATTTTGATTTTCCCTACCCTAACACAGACTAAAGGCATAAGAGTTGTACACCCMTTTTTAAATGGAATTTACTTGCTTTTGTGTTGGCCGAAAATGCAGGACAAGAGAGAAGGACGTCATATCATTAGAAACTAATTACTGAATGCTTGATCTCTTGAGTTTGATTGTCTCAATTATTTGCACATCTACAGTATTCACTGATATATTTAATTTCCTGGTCCATTTATTCTTGTTTATGCATTTTTTATGCATTTTTTTCATTTTTCTGTTCATTCATTTATTATCTGTCATTCTGACTTCATAGTTTCTCAATCTCCTCCCTTCTTTTAATCACTGTAACTTTATGCATWTAACCATAGGAACCCTTTCTTGGGAACTGTGCCCTACACAGGGATCCCAACCAAAGGCCTTGGGTCACACTACAGCRGCGGTTGGCGATACATTGTACATATTTGGAGGCATCTATCATGGTGAAGCAAAGAACTCTCTACACATGCTTAACACTGGTAATAGTAATCTTATCGAATCTGTAATTTAAAATAGAATGTTATTATTATCTTACTGCTATAAATAAATTGGTTGGGCTGCCTGTGGTGTGATTGCATTCAGACTCTTCTAAATTATTTGATTCCAGGTAATTTAACATGGACACTTCTCAAAACATCTGGTCAATCCCCATCACCAAGGTACACCTCATGGAAATAACGCAACAAACAAAAAGTATTATTTCCAGGAAGTTAACATAGTGGAATACTTATTGTGTGGAAATGCTATTTATTTCTCATACATTTCTCATACAAGAATAAGCAGATTTCAGCCATTTTAGAAATGTTAGCTCAGAGAGTTGCTGATTAAGTTAACCTACAATAATCCAGTTTCGAATTCTCCAATGCTCTGTGTTAGCCTCATTTGTGCGCAAAACATTCCTAATTGTGAGAATAAAAGTGTGAGATTTGAAATCAATTCCATTGTCTTTCTTTTCAAATTCCATGCGTTTTCTCGAGCTACCAATGAAACAAAAGAATRTGTTGCCTGGTTTTGAGGCTAACACAGAGCAAACCAGAACTCGAAATCGGAGTATTATAATGACCTGTTTTGTCAATGTTCTGATTAACAGATGGACAAACCCTAAAATCATATAATGCTAACAGCACAGGTTACATGTACTAGTAAATTATGATATAGTAATGTGTTTCTTATGGTTATAAAATCTTGGTTCATTTTCAGATGCGACCACGACTGCACAGTGATTGGAGAGAAATTCTACATTTGGGGGGGTAGTGGTGGGGAAGCTATTTGGTACAATGACTTTTATTGCTTTGACACAGGTAAACCCCTAAATCAGTGGCAAAAGACTGAATGAATAGATTTACTAATAGACTTAGCAATACATGGATAATCATTTATTGATTAACAGATGGACTTTTAGGGGGATGAGTGTTTGATAGATTTGTTTGATTGGTTGACTGTTTTTGCAATTGATCTATATGCATAGATCCTGCAACGACACAACTGCCTGTGTACTGTAAACAGAAACCCATTCCTAAATAAATGCATACAGCCATTTTAGAACTTCAGAAATCTGTTGTTGAAAGAAAGCACATATAAGTTTGCTAAAGTTTAAAGTTTGAGCAAGTTTAATTCATTAGAAATGGAAATAGACTTTTTCGAAAATTTCTAAAATTACAAAGAATGACGTAAGTTTGGCTGGACACTTTGGCTGGACACCATACATTTCTTTGTAATTTTGGCATGGTTTGAGTGTCCGTAACTTTATTGCTATACGTTCAAACATCATGAAACTTAGTCAGTAAAGCCTTTTATATGGTGCTCTCTCACATAATGGGGTTATTCTTTCTGGAACCATTATTTAATTAGATGTTGAAGTTCGAAGCCAGTCCCCTTTTCGTTATTTGTTATTTGCCAAAATAAGATTTTTTGTTGTCTTGTAGTTACTCTAGTTTGGTACTACATCAACGCTCAAGGTCACTTGCCTCACCCAAGAAGTCTACACACTATTTGTGCACATCATGATAAGGTATAATCAATCAATCAATCAATCAATCCATCAATCAATCATGCAACCAAGCAACCAATATCAATGAAACAATCAATCATCCAACCAACCAACCAACTAATCTCAATCAATCAAGTAATCAATCAATCAATCATTTAATAAATTAACAAATTCAATCAATTAATCACTCAAGCCATCAATCTATTGATCATCCATTACTTTTCTTGTTAAATTATTTATTATGACCTAAACTGACTCCCTGTGTAAATAGGTGATTTGAATGATGCCGTCACTTTTTACCAAGAACAGAATTCTTTTCCCACTTAGTCATAGTAAAATGATGCCGTAATGTATATMACCTCTTCTGTGATAGTGATGAATAAACTGAGATTGCTTGACAATTGTTTCAGGATATTTATTTATTTGGAGGAGCAAATGACTCACTTTCTTGTAAAGTACGTTCGCCATTTGGTGACACGTTTAAATTTAGCTTGTGTAAGTATYACCCTGTAAATATTGTTACTGATAGAAGAATACAGCATTACTCTAACATACAAAAATGTGTTTTTCATGATTTCAGCAAAAATGAAGTGGAAGAAGCTTCACTGTGAAGGGACAGGACCTGACCGACGTCTTGGCCATACAGCATGTATTGTATATGGACAGGTATGTCTATTAAAACCATGAGCAATCAGGACTAAAGATATGAAACCACAAAACACTGCAGTTCTGAATTCTATCCAGAATTGAAAAAAAAGCAGATCCTTAATTACATGATTGTCTGATTTACTTGCTTTTGTCATTTACTTTTGGCTTTAGTGTTTGCATTTGGCTGGCTGTTTGTGAACTTTTTCTTACAGCACACTTTTTAGGTTTTCATTAGGTTTCCCTAGTCTCTTTGTTGTTGTGTTTGTTGGTTGTCTAGCTRTAAGTATTTATTRGAGAGTGGTGCCTGCAAAACACTTAGTTTGGTTAAAAAGGCCCARTATTATACTACTTTATATTCAATAGCAACTGTAGGCTTTGCATGAAGGTTTTAAACGTGTTATTTTGATTCTCTTGTACTCTTAATTGCAAAATGCATATATATTTGTATACATATAAGTAGAATGAAATAGAACAAAACACCAACTTGAAGCTATAATTACTCTGTTTATTGCGGACATTTCGGCACTTCGGCCTTCTTCAGCAAACTGAGTGTTTTGTTTTGTTTTTGTTTATACATATAGTATAAAATGCTAGTTTTAGACTATATAATTATTAGGAGTTTCAACAGACAGTTTGAATTATTATTTTTTGTTTAGATGCTTGTATTTGGTGGAATGAATGATGAAAAGGACTACAATGATTTAGCAATACTACAAACACGAGCTGCTGCTAAACAACTTCCTCCTCCAGTAACAGGTAACTGTTCAATTTGAAATATTACAAAAAGCAAAAAAGTGCTTGAATAGTTTGAAAGATTATTGACAAATAATCACTATTGCATGGGGGAGCATGTAAAGAACTAGTCACAAGATCAACGTTATCCCATTTTAAAGTGAAAACAATTTGACTGGTTTGTGTTTTCCACAGATAGCTTACTAGATGCTTCGACTTCATCATTTGCAAGGTTTGTGCAACTAGTTTGAGGAGAATAGAAGGAGAACAGAAAAGGGGGGAAAATGACTGGGAGACAGCAATATGTAAATATGATCAAAAGTATTTGGTCCATGCGAATGGGAATAAAGTGAAGGAGAAAATGTATAGCAAATAAAAGAGAAAACAATAGCCCACACTCGATTTTCTGTTCAATGGTCGTGCGCAAAAGAACTGGAGATAAAGGTGCTCTTACGCAATTTTCTACACCAACTTGCGATATTTTTGGTGAAGGTAACTTAGAAGCCAGAATCAAGATAGCAGACAGTTGGAATGAGAAATTGCACTCGAACTGTTTTTGGAGGTGTGATACATTGTGCAATTGCATTGRAAGTTGCTGAACAGTAGACCTCAGTTCTACCTTATTATGCAGTTTTACGCGCAACAATTAACTAGGGTAGCAACGGCGCTGTTAGAAAACYTGATTGAGAAAATTGCTCTTAAAGCTCCAGGGAGACAAAACGATTATCACTTGTTTTCTTATCTGCAATTCTTTTGTCTTTGTTAGTCAAACAAAGTATTAACAAGAACAAGATAAATAAAAATGGACATTTAAGAAAAATGAATGATGGGATTAATTACAAAGGAAAAGAGATAATGCACTATAGTTGTGTGTGTGTTTTTTCTGCAGTACCTCAAGTTCCTCTGAACCGCTTACTAGCTATGATACGAATATACCAATCCCTGCCAAATACAAGACAATCATGAACTCGCTAAATATGGTAAGTATCTAGCCTGTGCACCCCTCCCCCTCCCTCTACGGGGAAAATTTTTCCCATATTTTTCCCGTAGGGGGGAGGGAGGGTGGGAACAGATGTACACAGGCTAAGTAGGTAGTATCGTGATTATCACTCATTTGAACGTTTGTCCTTTTATCYATCCATCCCTCGTCGATTTATTCATTTGCTCAGTCATTCATTAAAATAGGTTCAATTCACCAAACATTTCATGTTTCAGCCTGCAAAAGCTCCCAATTTTGACAACGTTAAAGCAACCTTTATAGCAAGAATTGATGAAATATTTGCAGACTTGTCTTCCAAGTACGAAGAGCTAGAGACGTAAGTAGAGCATCAGATAAACAATGAGCAAACCTGTCAATCAAATAAAACAAACAATCAGACAACAAATCTATTCATGAACTAATTAGTCTATCTATCAATCAACTAACTAATCACATTACAATGGTCTTACTACTCCTACTTTCAAACACGTAACTTTTGATCCTTAAATGTTACAGTATTTAACTTTTCAGATGTTACTCATTCTAATATGTTTTTCCAATGGGTACCAATGAAATATTGTATAAGCCAAACTAAGGCGTTACCATAGCCAAGCCCTATATCATCTGGTGTGTCCAAACATGCTGTGTTATCCATTGTTCTTCATTGTTCTTCGTACAATCATTTCAACATTTGTTTTAGCAAAAACAAAACGCGTTTTTGGGCGTCTTCTAGGGAAAGCCTTGATAAGTATGGTATTTATATATTATCTTCAGGCAAAAAGCAGCGTTGCGAACATCGGTGGAGAGTTTTCACGAAGAACGAGAAGCGAATATTKTACAGTACGAGCAACAGCAAAAGGTGAGCATGAAGTAGTGCTTGCATTGCCTGCCCAGGGGCGGGTCCGGATTTTCCTCAGGGAGGGGTGCAGGGCTCTGAGGAGGGGTTGCACCCCACAAAAATCATTAMTTTTTGTATTGAAGGATACAGATCTCGGGGAGGGGAGAGAGCGTACCCCCTGCACCCACCAGCTGGAACTGCCCCTGCCTGCCCGTCTGTTCACACGTCTTTCTGTCTTTCTGATAAACGTTAACAGACCGGAATGACCTGCGTTCTTTCTTGCTTTACTGATTTTTTTGCCTCGTCACTCACGTTTTATCTAAAAGATTGCGCAAACAAACATAAAGCACAAGGATCCCAACTTATACCATTTCTTAATGTTTGTTCTTTGCAAAACAACATGACTTCAGTTGCTATACTTTCTTCAATCCCATTGTACATTTCACCAAGAGCAATTCAAAAGCGTACATGCGTACGGATTTCACAGTTTTCGCATAATGAGATTATTTTCAGATCTTCCATCAGTGTCGAACTAATGTGTTGTTTCAGGAGCTACAGGAAATGTTAATCAGGCACAAAGAAGAGAACGAGGAATGGATTCAACAAAGAAAGCGAGAATTGGATGAAGAACGTAGAGACCTRCAGCAAGAAAAGGTCAGCAAACATCTTATTTATTTGGTTTTGTTGCGCTCGCTGTAATGACTGTAAGTAACGYTCTGGTCGTTTTTGGTACCAATTGGAGTTACGAGGAATTTGCATTATCTGCAATCTCTTGGGGTGTTGGAAAAGACGAGAAAGAGCGCATCGATATTGATTTGCCTCTGATTTTTTATCATTGGAACTAATTTGATTTAACAATATTTTTTGTGCAAWCTCTTAGGCGTCAGACTTCTGAGATCTTTAAGGGGTCTTTTTGAAAATTTCTGAAGAGCATCCCCGGTACTTTTACCCCCGGGGGTTTTGCCGTTTTTAGAACCCAGTTTACGGTTTCAATGCACTTTTTATGCGGGGATTTGTGGTATGACCCCCTATAGGCCCCCTAGTCATGTCCACATATAGCTTTCTTTTGATAAGTGTTTTTTAACCCAAGTCATTTTGCTCTTCTAGGAAAAACTCAAAGAAGAACGAGAAAAACTTATAAAGGAGCAAAATGATATCAAGTATAGTTGAGTCTGCAGGTAGATAGATATTAATAAATCTATTCTTTCTTGTAAGAGTAAAAGCGAGTGGAGTTTGCCTACTTTTGTTTCTCATTATTTATGACTAATTATTATCCTCCTTTTCTTTCCATCTTGTTGCGGTATTTGTTTCTTTTTCGCTTCTTTCATTTCACCCTTTTTTCTATTTCTTTCCTCATTCCTTTTTCAATTCATACCTATCCTTCGATCTCTTTAATTTCATTCTGTCATGTTTCCTTCGCTTTGACTACTTGTCATTTTCGATTTCATCTTTTCTTCCATCCATCMCTCCATTCCCTCTTTTCCACTCTACTATGTCTATGCATTTTTCCTTTCCATTCTGCCAATTTTCTCCCTTTTCTCCCTTTATGCATTTTTGTTTTCAGTTGTTCTCTGTTTAATAATAATCCATTTTTTGTCCTTTCCTCTTTTTTGGTTATGAGAGAATCAACCATGCAAATAGTTTTCGTGACGATGAAATTGGGAGATCGAGAGGTTTTTCATTCGCTTGGGTTAAAAGGCTACTTGGACGAAAATTTCAAAACATTAGAAAAGACTTATAAATCAAAGAGACCTATCCATATGGGTCTAATAATCATGAAGAATCGGATTTCAAGACGATATTGATACAAATCCTTAATAAGGGCAAAAAAAGGTGGAGTAAATTTCCCTCAATTGTTTTTAATAGATATATATAAGTCATATATTTGTATTGAAGTTTTCAAATAAGGGCATTTTCATGCAAGTAGCACTTTAACTGTCTAGAATGGTACTAGATTGCTGAGAAAAAACTCATACGTAGATAACATTAAACTAATTACATCTAAACACAAGGTCCTGCAGTTTCTGTGGTTAAGTCTTCAATGTAGCCATTTAGATAAGATGGTTTCGGAAGCGCTCGGGTCATGTCCGGATAGTAGTCGGCGCTGGCAAGTATCGCACGAACTTTCATCGCAACTTTTCGGTTATTGATCCATCCACCAAGTAGAATGCAATTGAAGCCGTTAGTTTCCCAAGTGTACGTGTGTCCATCAAACGAGTTTTTKCCTACTTGTAGGTTTAGCAAGGAGAAGGAAAGGTCGTGTATATGTCGTGATGTGATCATAAGCACTGCGTCAGCATGATTAAGTCTATGTTGTAGTTGGATGGTGGGTGTGGTGGGGGCATTGTTATCACTACGCGAAGTGGACGGCGGTTTCTCGAGTAGCAGTACTGGAATMTCCTGGTAATGTGCTAAAAATAAGAAAACATAATTTCAGTGAATTTAKCAAAAACAGCTAGCAACGCGATAATCTCCATTGCAGTAGCGCTGCGTGAGGGGGGAGGGAGGGGTTCAAAGGAGGCGAACTCCATTGCAACCTCCCTTGAATAATCCCCAATCGTGCAAATTGGCGGGAAAGTGCAGCATGAAAATGGTAGCGGCTTTGGGAAAGACTAGAAGTGCCGTCTCTCTTTTACACAACCTCGCTGCTCGCTGTATCGTAGAGGTTTTTGGAATGGAACCTTAAGTATTCAACAGTTTGCAGCAATAGTAAACTCGCATGAAAACAAAAGAACTCATTCAGATTGARGAAGTATTTGGTGTGAATCGACCCAAAACCAAATTTGTAAGAATTTCTAAATGCCTGATTTTACAATACTGTAGATTTCCATTGAAGAGGGAGATAGGAAGATAGAGATGGAGCGAGGGACTAGGCTTACTGAACAAGGCGATGTGGTGTCCGAGGTCCAGCAGTCTTGTCAGTACGCATGCGTAGAAAGGACAGTGGCTATAAACATCGGCATCCACAAAAAGAACCATCTTAAGGGGCCTGTCACGTGACCTAGACTCCATGCCCTCTCTTCTAAAGTAGTCCTTTATAAATAATGAAATAAACTTTTATTATTTCATTTCATGATATTTTAGTAYAACATAAATAGTAATCTAGGTAATTTGTGCAACGACGCCATTTCTGCAGCAAAGCATGATGGGAGATGGAGTGTTCGCCTTTTATGTAAAATAGACTCTTAAAGCAATTTTGTGCTCTATTTTTACCGAAGGGAAATAATTGTGAAGTTTCTGTAAAGTAAAGACGGACATTAAAAGTGCAGGTAATCGATATCGCATCATGCTTTGTTGTGAGAATTGTCAACGCTGCTCATTGATATTTTTCTCATTTTCCCTTCCATTGCTTACGTGTTCATTTTTGTTTTGTTTTGGTTTACATTTCTGTTCGTTCTTTCGTAAAATTACCAAACGAAAAAGACTGGTAACGACGGTTACATGACACGGATAATTTAGTTATGCAGTCAAAACAGCTTGATCATTCATATTCAGAAATTTCTTTCCAAACACAATGCGTCTCTATTTAGACAGAAATCTCGCCAGATTCGACGACTTTGCTGCTTCTAAGGGATTCAAATTAACTCACTACATTGATGGTTTGAGCGATGTCATCTTTGACCGAATCAAAGACTGGCAGAACCAAGTCATAGGACGCCTTCAAAATGACGGGAAAAGCTTGGCTGATAAAGCCACAGCAATCGTGAATGATGTACATTTAGAAACAGAACTCGAATGGGATGGTTATCACTGCTTTATTGGTATTCGTAACAGTCATGCAGTCGTGTATTTTATACCAATTGAATCAAGAGAAACACCTTACAACACAACAGGCTGGCATGTCTTTAGCTCCTCCTTCGAAGTCGATGTTGTGAGAATTCATTTAGCCTTTTCAGAGGAAGATTCTAGTCGATATGCTATCTACATCAATACGCCGACAAAACTATTCGAAGATGTTCCTTTGTTCTTGTGTTGCAATGTTTTAACAAGCTTGAAAGCTTTGCAAGTTTTAGCGTATGTAACTTCTCTCAAACTTGGAAATTATCGGGAATTGGAATCGGATTGCTTGGAGTTTGGTAAAGCTGCCGCAACATTTGCTTTACGGCATTTTGCCACAGAAAGAGAGTTCATCAAATCCAAAGTTGACCTCAAAATGAAGAACGCAATGAATTTGAATGAGCTTACCATCACAAATTATAAAAGTGAGGCTTTGTCGCGGCGTAACACAGCTTCGAAATACACAGGTTTGGTTTCCATAGTTTCAGCGCAATCTCCTTTGATTCAAATGGTTCTGGTATCGGTGGTTGTCATGACATTGTACCATTTTTTTATTCGTTAGAGGACTTTATCTCTGTACATTATATCTCTGTTGATATTTATGGCAATGATAATTCCGAAAACAAGTTTGCACAGGACCGAATCAACAGCAAAGAACTACAACTTTAATCTCATATATATTAGTTTTTTGCTGTCCAAATGTTCTTCCAGTATTGTAACAAACAACACGTTATCACATATCGACCTGAATTTGTGTTGTATGAATAGGCATATTTTAATTGCATAGCAAGCTGAGGTCAGACAAGAAACTTGAATGTTATGTCTAGCCAGTGAATATAAAGAGCTCAAGCATTGAATGAATTATCAAACACATGACCTCAGCGAATAAAATCCCTTCGCACGTCATGTCAAGCACGGATATTCTTGGACTTCACCTATCCACATCACGTTGGCAAGAGTCCAACCGTATCCTTCATGAAGTTGCGTAAAACAAAATCTTTTTCTGTAGGATGCGAGCAAACGCTCTAAGAGCGCCTAAGTGCGTAAGCGAGTCAGATGTTTTTCCAAATGTCATGAGCTGCACGGCGGAGAATTAAGCCTTGCATCTTTGAATTACATACGAAAAATAGAGAATCTTTTGCAGACTTCTTGAAACGAACATGATGGAACCGCCTTTTAATGTTGCATGTGACTTCACATAACATGCTGTGAGCCCACGGTTTTACAGCGGACAAAGGAGAAAATAATGAATGAAAAATATGCATTTGTTACAGTTATGTTAGCAGTCCAAGCCTAGCAGGCTCTTCTTGGGTGACGGAACCCTTCAACCCTGGGTGCTGGGCTTAGATTCGGGCAACGCTAAAAATGGCTAACGTCTCACAAGGTTTTTTGAAATTTTGTACAATTTGAGCATCGAACATCTCGTTAGCAATAGGCAATGTACAATGACGCCATTTTGTGCAGCAATGCATGATGGTAGTTGTAGTCCTCGTACTTTGTCATGGCCGCTAAAATAGTCCTTCTGAAATGTTTTTTCTAATCCGAAACAGATGTTGTTTTGCCGTCGTATTTCAGGGTCTATAATAAGTGCCAGGACTACAACTACCATCATGCTTTGCTGCACAAAATGGCGTCGCTGCAGTTGAATCACGTTGAGATGTGATGATTGAAGGGAGGATTTGAACTTGAGCCTACTTGACCTCTACTCCTCCCCCCTCAATCACACGCTAATGTAGTGGTTACTGATACGCGTGCGCGGTTGCTGCAAGTCTGCCGCTGATAACCAAAAACGCTGGCTACAAGTTCTCGGCAAGGTCTTGGCGCCATACAAACTGTAGATTTAACAGTKCAAATTCCAAGCACCCATATACACGTAAAACCCAATGAATATAGTCAAAGAGTGAATAGTCTGCTCTAAATCCCGAATTTTTTATACATTACACAGCAGCACATGCAGGTATTGCAAGCTTTTGCATAAGATGATGTTGGGTTACGTTATACTCTGTTAAAAGCTTTATCAGGAAAAATAAGTTCAAACGAAAATATATTGAATTAGTGCTTGACGATGGTAGTTCATGTTTTGAACAGCTAGAAGGATGTAATTTTTGCGAAGGTTGGAGATAGCAAGGCTAGCATCCATGAATAACTAAATCGAAACTAAAGGATTGAGCTGAGGGGAGAAGATCTCCTTTACCGTCCTCATTTTCTCTCGACCACCTGCGGATCCTGCCGCGAATATTTCGTGAAGTAACTTTATAGGGTCAACAGAAGGCTGTGTAAACATGATTTTTCTCCCACTTTTAGCTTTTGAAAATTATATCAGTGAATTTTTTAGCACTGAAATGTATGATAAACAATTGGATTGCAATAAAAAAGAATCACAAAAAGAGCAATGTTTTAAATTATTTCGACGCACGAAAGAAAATCTTCTCTGCTTACCTCCACTGAATACTCCTGGTTATTGCAGATAGCGCTATATTGTCATCTGCACATCGCCAGGGAAAACACTACAGCCTTGCAGACTTGGATTTCCAAGTACCACTGACGCAACGGGTTGCTGCGTTGGAAGAGTTGGGAACGAACTTGTCGACGTCGCCGAAAAATTTTAAAACAACAACTCGAGATCACTGACGTGAGAGTAACGCAAGTAGGATGTTATGTTTGACGAAACGGAAGTGGTTGACACTTTGCAGTAATTATAAAACCTATCAGCTTTTGGTTTTGGTTACAAATCTATCACCACGATCTCTTGTTGCTATCGTTGTTGCTATCGTTGTTGCTGGATGGGTGAAAGGATAGGTGAATGAGATGCTAAGTGGTTTGGACACTGAAATTAAATGGATGGGTAAGAAATGATTCCCGGGACAAATGAATGGATAAGAGAATGGATGGAAGGATATGGATGGATTGACAAACGGACAAATTGTAGGACACGTAAAAAAATTAAATCACCATACTCGCTTATGTGATTTCTAATTGCTTATAAGATCGTCCCAAACGAGTATGTCCATTGCCCTAGTCTGGTTTTCTATTGTATAAAACAAAACTAAAAACGCGTTTTGGAGTTGGGAGGGGGGGAAACCACACCAGCTTTGTAAAGGTTGACCTCATAACCCTGACTCTATACGAGCTAACTAAACATCATCTTGGTGAGTTTTTGTTGTACGACCATTGAGGCACGCTAAAGTGTAGTGTTTTATGAAACACTGTTTCTAATTCTGGATCCCAATTTACCTTGACCTTGGCAAAACCTAATTCGAGGTGTTATGCAAATCAATAATAAATCCTGTTATCAAGTGTGTGCGTGGAAATCTGTCTGCTTTGAAAATCCTGCCAAATTGACAAGCCCCTTACCCTGGTCCCAGAGGTTTGATATTTTCTCTCTTCGTTATTGTTTTTGTCGGCGCGAAGCGCCTTAATTCGATTAAGGCGCTTCGCGCCGACAAAAACAATAACCAAGAGAGAGAATATCAAAACTCTGGGACCAGGGTACAAGCCCCTATGCAAACGAAGAATCCTAAATTCAGTTTCTACCTCGCTGTCTTCATTCTTCACCTGAGATTCATTAATTTTGATACTATTCAATTTATACACAAAGTAAATTCTGCTTTAGATTAGAAGGACATCAGATTTCAAGGTCAAGGTGGTTCAAGGTGCACAATAGAGGAGGGTAGCTCCCTTCCCCTCCCCCACTCAAAAAGGACAGAATTCAAGCCGTTCTTACCCACGCGATGTACAATAAAGATCAAATTATGAACACAAAGAAGAGGCACTACAAACCAATACGTAGCTTTGTAATCACAACAAAACGAACAGATTTGTGTCAATCAAATGAATATATCCATATATCACCACTATTTATTGGAGCTTTGATTGCAGCTTCGCTTTCATGCGTTTTAATAAAAATACTTATAATTCGTTTTTGTGCGTTCTTTGCAGCAATAACATTTTGTTGCTCTATTTCTGCGTAACACTTTCGTCGACCCAAAAACCATCCAAATCCAAATACAAGGAATCACGCGATAATCAATCACTCGGCACTCCACAGGACGTCCAATCTCTATGGCACTCAGATTCGATATATAACGCGTGCTCTGATTGGCTGACGACCGTGCAGAGACACGGCTTACCGGCAAAATTTGCTTTTCGCTCGAAAAATTTTATGAAAGAAATATAAAACGGCCGCTTGTGTCTCTGTCCTCTGATATAAACGTGGTGGGAGTTGAAAAACACTCGAGAAGCAAGAGAAACACTCGCTACGCTCGTGTTCCAAAGCTTGCTTCTCTCGTGTTTCGAACTCCCAC